AGATCGCGACTATCATCCCCTTCTGGCTGCGAAGCTTTTGCAATGACAAGTTTGACAACTGTAATCCATCGGACTTGATGATCGTTTTGTGTCAAGCGTCGCATTCAATCCACTTTAAGTGGCTCAAGGCTGATTTTGCGAAACTTATTGTAACGCACGCACTGTTGAATCCGCAGTGCTGTAGACAAACAAGTGTGGTACACGCCTTCACATCTACACGTTGTAGCATATAGCCTGGTGTCTGCAATGCTGCATCATCTCTAACATTTCTGACGGTGGATCACTGATGCACCAGGGCTACGCTTGGTTTGCATTTCGAAAAGGCAACCTATTACGTGACATGGCTCGAATTAGCCACTGCTGTGGAAATTATTGGAAACAAGTATATTGCAACATGAGATTTCCTAACAGCTGTTTCTTTGATACTAAGTAGAACATTACAATTATTTGATTGAGTTGTTTGATTATGTTAGGTTTCTTTGATATCTTGTCGATCACTCTCGTTTTTGTGCGGACAGTCGAGAGTGTTCAGCGTGCAATCGAGGTTCTAGCCGAACAGCAGAAGCTCATAGTGTATGTAAGCTTCTGAATTCTGCTGAAGAGATCAGGGATCTATACCAGAATGGAAGAACGCTCCGTGGTTCAGAGAGAACTGCTTCTGTCGTATACCTTGTCCACAAGGAAATTGCTGAGAAGCTGTAGTAGCTCACAACTTCCCAGATCTGGGATCTCTCCTCTAGAGGAGAGTCTTCTTGCCCGCAATTTACATTGCTTTGATCATTCTTTTAATCCTCGGTTTCGCTTTCTAGGATTGTTTGAAGGTTTGCAGTTGGGACAATTGGAGATGACCATAAGAACGTTATAAGAGCATATTCATCGGTGGGTGCTATTGTCCCAGCGGTGCTATTCGGTTATTCGAATAGCACCACGCGTCAGAAAACCATCATAAAGAGCATTTTTATCGGTGGGTGCTGTTTTCCCGGCGGAGCTATTCGGCTATCTGAATAGCACCGCACGTCAAAAAGCCATCATTAACGGTTGGGGAGCAATAGCACCCCAATAGCATCCCCGGAGCTATTCGACGCCGAGCGGCGCTATTTTGGCCCCGAATAGCACCGCTCGGGGCCGAATAGCACCCCAGAATAGCTCCGACGCTATTCGCGCAGAACATTGTAGTGCTGCCGTGATGCTATTTGGCATAGGCATAGCGCCCACCTTTGCGGATGCGCGCAGGAGAACAATAGCACCGGTGCTATTCGACAAATGCCGCCTTAGTAAGGTGGCACAGCGGCCAATGAGAACCGTTCCTGCATAGCTCCGCCGGTGCAATAGCACCGACCGACAAAGATGCTCTAAGTTGTATTGGATTTCAGAGACTGGGCTTGCCTCCCTCGCTTTGCCTCACTGCTGTGTTATTGGTGACCGTGGTGGGTCCCCGCTGTAGGTGCCCGCACTCGGGGTCGGTTTCTGGGTGAACGGATGTTTGTACGGCTGCCGTACGCAAAAGATGGCGCCAGGCCCATCAGGCGACTTAAATTGGCGGGTCACGTGATCCAGTCACGTGGGAATCTTATTGGTCGTGAATCCACACCGCACACTCTGTTTTGCGCACCTTCAAGCGACACGTCGGCAAAAGACCCGTCGCCCGTTCACCGTTGCACTTTGTGGCCCCAAAAAGTGCAGTACTGTGGCCTTCCGTTTGGGAGTTGCGGGGATATGGGGCCCAGGGGTTCGCTGCCCGGAAAGTGATCTCCCTGTGTCGCCCTCCGCTTGCCCGCGCGTGTTGCACGCCCGGGAAGACCCTGCCTCCATGCCGCTCGCTGCACGCCAATCGCACGCATTCTGCGGTGACCTCGTGGCGAACGAACGCCTCCTCCTCGCCCCCCCTGTGGCCCACGCCCCCCGTCGCGCCCTCTTGCGCATAAAGGCGCGTGCGGCGATGGGCCACGTTTGCGGGATGGCACCGGGCCGATCGCTCGTGCACAACACCGTGTGGCGTGCGCGGAGGCCGCGGTGAGTTTCGGCGCCGATCTGCTGGCGTAGGATCGCTGGAGGGACCTTCTGGCGCTCTTGGTGCAACGACGGAAATTGAAAACGGCACTGATAGGTTGTGGTGTTTTGGCGCAGGTGTGGACCCCTGGAGACCAGGAGCTGGAGGCGCCGTGCTCTCACGTTGACAGAGTCATTGGAGGTAATTCGATCCGATTGGGAACGGATGTGAGTCGCGAAGAGGGAAAGGGCCGGGGTTAGGAGGGGGGGTTCTACGCGTTGCTTGCGGTGCCTTTGCGATCGCCGGCATGTACACTTGCGAGGGAAACCATGTGCCCAGGAATGAGCTTTCCCTTAAGGTTGATGGCGATCACATTGGCGTGCGCGAGCAGACAGGGTGAGGCTTGCTAAGAGTGGCGATTTTGGCGCTGGCTGAGGGTGCGCGACGCGTCAACACCCTTTTGCCTATGGTGTTGACGATTGACAATGTTGGTCTGGTTTTGCTGTTGCGCTCTTAGATTTCTGCAACATTATTCAAAAGGTGCTTGGTACGGTCTGCCATGCCATCTGTCCCCAATTATAGTCTGAATGCTTTTCAAGGCAGAACAGTGATCTTGCACCTTGCAGGCGAACCTAGGGATTTATGTATATAGCAGCGTGTGTATCGTGCTGATTGTGGGTTGTATGTGGACCTGACTCTTGTGGCAGCTGGTGGACCACCGCACGAGTCAAGATGACTCTGACAGCGATGGACTGGAGTTGAGGGAAGGACGTAAGCACTACTCCAATCTGCTGGTATTAAGAGGTGTATAGCACAGCACAAAACACTGCCATCCCAAAAGGTGGTGGTATGTTGTGTGAAAGGTTGCAGTCCCAGTGGGCCCTTCCAGGCCCATGACTGCGTCTTGAGTTGCAGTGTGCCTGTCTCATGTTGCTGACGCCTTCGATTTTGCTTCGCAGCAATGATTCTTGCGTTTCAGTTTAGTGTATAGTCTCAATGTTCTATCGCACCTGTTGGGGGTCTACATAACAGGCAGCCCTGTCACAACGGCCAAATCTGTGTATGAGGCCTTTGTTGTGTTGTGAAGAAAGCACGGTGGGCAACAGGTACCCCCATTCAAAGGAGAATGCTTGAACAAAATTGTTTTCACTTATTGTGGAAGGCTTCTCAGATGGGTGGTCTGCTTTTTATGACATACACAGTTCTCTTTGTTGAGGAGCCAATCTTTGGCTGGACTGCAGGTGAACGTACCCCTTCCCAACCATTCTCCAGTACGCTTGCCTATCGGTCCCATTCTTGCCCCAATTTTGACGCGCCTATTTTTGGCGCCCAGCCCCCTACGTGGAGTCCGACATGTTGTGGACCGGCCACAAGCCCAACACCCTGAGCACCGAGACTGTCCGCCGGGAGCTGGAGGAGTCTTTCAGCACTGCTAAGCAGCTACCTGAGAAGAGAGGGTGCCTCAAGCAGGATGGCCGACTGCTACTGGAGCGACAGTGGGCAACTGCTGCGACATCGACATCTGGGTGCGAGGGTGTTGTTCGTAGCCAGAAGGCTAAGCCAGCAATGAAGCGGGGGAACAGTGTGAGGAAGGCTTGCATCAAGACATTGGGGCTTGGCCCTGAGTTGGCTGAGGGTAGAAGGGCCCAGGTGCTAGGGCAGGCCCGTAGGTGGCAGGTGAAGGGTGCCACGAAGGATGCAAGCAGCTGGGCAATGCTTGTTGACTTGGAGAAGAGATTGCAGGATGCCTCGTCAAGGCGGTCGAGCAAAAGGTGCAGGAACAAGGCATTGTCGTCACCCATGTGCCCATCTTATAAGACTATAACAGTACTAACAAGGCCAGCGAATGCAGTGCATATGGGTGTCATTACCATAAAACGAGTTTGTGCTGGGTGATTATGATTGATGGGCAGATGCACAATGGGCCCTGTTTAATTGTTTGTCTGAACTGTATTGTCCTTCATTTTCCAGCCCACACCTGTGTGGGGCCTTGGAAAGTCTACATGATGGCAAGGAGTTGGCGGCCATGCTCATGCATGCAGGCTTAATCAATGTGTGTGAAGGTAGCATGGAAGATAACGATTGGCTCTGAGGCCAGGTACCACTGAGAAACAGGCACTGTTGATGCCACCACCCTGCTTTTGTTGTGTCAATGTTTGGAAACGTGTCAGTTGGCCAAGGTGCAGCTATAGGCTAGGATATTGCTGCTCAATTTGAGTAGGCACAGACTGTTTGCAGTTCTCTTGTGAGAGATAGCCTCAGGTGCAAGAGAGAAATGGATTCACTGGCCATCCTGCTCTGCAGACTGGCACAAGTCCCTTTGTCGAAGGTTGCCAAGCTGCTGCTTGGGACTTGTGTGCTACTTAACACTTTTACATTACTGGTACCGAGTGCTGTTTGACCATATTCCGTGCTCTGTGCCACATGGCCATCAATGCTATAGAATACACAAAGAAGGCACACACAAGTGCATGCAGCAGTATGGGTTGTTGCAGTTGAACGGAATTGATGTGATGTGGAGACAGGACCAGGCCAAGGCGTCTGGCTGTGGGTCCTGGTGCGGAAAGGTTGCCTGTTCTATATTCCTCGATTCTGAGTGGCAGTCACGCATACATCCAGGCCTTGTTTCCATGAGCTGCTATGGCCACTGTGCTAAATGCCTGACTGGACTGTACCCTCCCAAGTACCTTTGGTGCTCAGGTTCTTGGCAGTTATCATGCTTGGCAGTGCATGTCAACTGATTGGCTTGTTTTGGATGCCTGATTGCAGGAAGGACAGTGCAGTGGGCATGTTCCTGAGCAACCTCCTGCACGTGCCCCTGCTGACTCGGCCACAGGAGCGCACCTTGGCTCACTTCATCCACATTGGCCAGAAACTGGAGACAAAGACTGCTGAACTGGCCCAGAGCCTGGGCCGTGAACCCACAGGTCAGGAGGTGGCAACTGCCTGGGGGGGTATCCCTGAAGACATGGATAGGATACCTGACGATCGCAAGCGTGCCAAGAACTTGATGATCCAGTACAACTTGAGGATGGTGGTGTCCATCGCACAGCGGTACAGGGGCAGGGGCGAGGATCTGGAGGACTTGCTGTTGGAGGGTCTGGCAGGGTTGGATCATGCTGTGGAGCGCTTCGATCTGGAAAAGGGTTATAGGTTCTCCACCTATGCCTACTACTGGATCCGACAGGCTGTGTCACGCTGCATTTCGAACCAGTCAAGGGTGATACGGCTCCCTGTGCATGTGTGCGAGGCACTGGCCAAGATCAATCGCATCACTGAGGAGATGAGGGAGAAGGGTGGCGTGAGCGATGTGGAGATCGCAGAGATGCTGGGACTCAGTGTTGACAAGGTGAAGATGTACAAGAAGGCAGCTATACCCTCCAGGTGAGTCATTTCGGAGGGCAGTTGGAGTTTCACTTTGGTCACAATCTGTGTGTGGTGCATGACCTACGCATTTCTAGCCGTTTGACGTTCATACCACTTGCGATTGGGGCCATTTGTAACATATCTTTGTTGTGGAGGCTTCCATTCTACATGTGGCTTTCTTTGTGGTTACAGTACTGCAATTGCTTTCCATGGCATGAGAAGTTGTGCGCCCTTTGGTGCAGCTGTGCATTGTCTCAAGCTCATCACAGTGTGCGTCACCAGGTCACTGGATGCCCCTCTGTACACCAGCTCCAAAAGGACCATGGAGCACCAGTCAACACTGCTTGTCGACAGTATTCCCCAGGAGGATAGCCCTGTGGATGATGCTCTCAAGGACAAGGAGGTGAAGGAGAATTTGAACACAGTGCTAAACACGCTGCATCCCCGGGAGAGAAATGTGCTGCGCATGCGCTATGGACTGCACAGGCCCGGCGGTGCCTCTATGAAGCTTTGGGACATCAGCTCTGTATATGGCCTCAGCCCTGAGAGGATCCGTCAGATTGAGGAGAAGGCGTTGCGCAAGCTGAGGCGACCTTGGAGGAAGGCTTTGTTGATGACGCCTTGATCATCAAGAATTAAAACCCTGTTAATTCTTCAGTTGTCAAAATATGATGCTGGATTGCCCTTTCATTTGTTTGGCGGCCTCACAAGCAAGGTTTATATGGTTGATAGGAATATTTCTGGCCCCTTTGGAGCAGCGTTCTATCAACTCCATATTCTGGGGAGAGTGGACAAAGCAGCGCTCATGGACAGTGTTCTTGAGAAGACAATAAGCTGGGGCCGTTGGATTGTTTGAGCTGTGAAAAAGAGGCAGCATGAGCGGCCATGAGCAATGCAACAGAGGAGCCACAATGGCATGTGTGCTTGTATGCTGCTGGTTGGCAGCGAATGCTTCTGTAGGGCATGCGGAGCGGGACTGAGTTTTGGTGATGATACGAATGTGCGCATTGCTATTGTATTGTGCAAGCGATGATGGACAAGCTGGTGCCCATGATTTATGCAGTTCATGTGGAGCCTGTGCCATAGAGAGAGAGACTGGCTTGGCTGATGTTGTGGTGAGGCCCCCTATTGGCTCGTACAACCGCCTTCACACCCTACGAGGGATGTTGGCTTTAGCGCAATGACTCCCAAGACTTTTGATTTTGAACGGCGGGTTTTGGCCTTTGCATGGGTGTCTGCGGAAGTCAGTGCATAATTGTGAACAATTGTACAATGTACATTGTATTGGCGGGATCTGGGACTTGTAAATGTTCACTCAGGGTGGATGCTGGGCCTAGCGGAACGCTTTGGGCACCTCATCCCATGCTGTGGAAAAAAAAAAAACGTCAAACACAGCATGGGTTTCCAAGCCGAAACGACGCGCAACTGAAGTGACTTTAATCATGGCGAGGCACGACACTTCATGGGTGGCAGTAAGCCGCTCTTGAAGTTTGCCCTTTGCGATCGCCTAAACAGTGGGCACAATGAATTTTGAACAGTAGTTCAAGAAACATCGCACAATATCTGACATTTGCAGAACGTCAATCAGCATCCAGTGAATCCCGCAATTGTGGTTTCCGCCATTCCCAACCACTGTGCAATCACAAGCTAAACCCAATAGCAAACGGGCCGGGGCGGAAGGACGGGCGTGCTGGACGTGAATGAGCGTACATCTGCAGTTTAGAGCCATGAATGCCACTGTGAAACTATATGGCTGCCGTGTAGTGTGTACGCGTAGCACTGCACCTCGCGGATAACGCTACACAACTTAACCCCTGTCAGGAACTTGCAAAGCGTCTATGATCAAGACGGCACTTCTGCACAGCACCCAATATTTTAGTTAAACTCATTCCCTTTTTTCACAAAACAAACACCTTCAGAAGGAAGACTATAAGCAGCGTATGTCTTTCCTCTTGTCGGAGATCAGCTTTTCACTGTACTTGACACAATTTACTACACCTTCAATTCACAGTACAGACTCGCCTAATGCTTACAACATGAGCTTACAAGACTCTCGACAGGGCCTTGCAGGCCTGGTTGCAGTGCACAGCAGAGCTCCAGTTCAGGTCTGTTGCTCCCCTTTCAAGGTCGCTGTCATTTGATATGTCCCTCAATTAAATTTTGCTTTCTGGCTGCCGGTATTGCATTCATTTTGGAATGTCATGCTGTGTATCTCTAGCGTCAACACGTCCTTTAATCAGGCCCGTGCAGCGCGCCTGTTGTGTCCCAGTAATCAACGTTCTTTTCGTTTCGTTTTCCTCAATATTTCTCTGGCCCAATGGCAGCCATTCTGCCTTGAGTAAACAGAGCTCAATCCAGAAGGTTCTTTAGAAGTGAACTTCTCCGCACTGGTCAGGATATCCCATACTGTCCATCTGACCCACCCACTATTTTTTTCATTCACCTCTGCCATTCCATGCAATATGTGGAAAACAGGGAACACACAGTATACTGTGCAATGCACTTTCTGTCTTTTGTGGACAGTTCAAAGTGCTTTCTTGCCTTTCAGCACCATTCAGCAGTTGTTCATGTCAAATCCTGACGGTTCTATGGTGTTGTGTCACCCCGTCAGCCGCCGTATGTAAGTCATGAGCCAGCCATTGGGTGACATGGTGTGGTGGATAACGGCGGATTTAACATTGGCAGCAGGCTTAGCGTGTGACGCGTAGGCCGGAGGTCCGCTCTGTGAGGTAGAGAATTGCACTTGCGAGTGTCCATTACAAATCGGAAGTCAATTCACCTGCCCCTAGCTTTCTTCACCAAGGGGGCAAACCACCAGCTCTTTCCCCACGTTAGATTCGAAAACGGTGTCTATTCACAATAACACAGACCATTTACATATTCAAGCGCCGCAATAGCCAAATAAGCCAAACCCTGGATGAAAGCAGACGCCACGACTGATGTTCGCATCTTTGAGCGCAATCAAGCAGAGGCAAGAGAAGAGGCAATGGAGTGCCCTGAATGAAGCCAGCTTCTAGAGGTTTCATCAGAAATCTGACGTGGAACTGCGAATGCTGAAAAGAAGTCTGAGGAAGGCGATTGTAATCAGTCAGACGCGCAGACCTCGCAAACTCAAAGTCTCTCTGGCACTCTAATCGTCCCCAGCAACTTTCGCTTCTGCTAGACTGCTGCAGCACCCACGACTGGTTCCCGCCACTGCAATCCAGACCACGTTGCACTGTTTCCAACTGAGCACAAAATTTCGCATCAGTTTTGATGCTCTGGTCTTACGAAGATTCTGGTATTGTTGAATTCACCGTTTGCCAGTTGTCGCTCCACTCAATAAGTGTCATGTGAGTAACACGTCGCGACTGAATGGGTGACGCAATGCCATACATCAGTCTGGGTCCCACGTGGGCAGCAAGTGAGCCTTTCTGACAAGTGCAAAAAGCACGCTGAATTGTCATGAGCAGATGTCATGAGCACCGGCAATAATTTTGAAACAATACCTTATAGTACGGGCGGAAAGTCTCTGTGCTGCTAGCTGATCAAGAAAGGATGCTGCCGTCATTCTCGCAAAATTCCAAAGCATGGCGTCGGTGGGCTGCAGACGTGATAGATGGAACCATAACTGGTAGTTTAGAAGCACTCCCTGGCCCAGTCCATAGCAAGGACGCTTGGTTGAAATATGGTATGCTCCATGGATTGCTGGATTTGTGGCCTATTGCCTTGAGACATCTGGAAAAGGGTAGAAAATGATGCAAAGGGTGTTCACAGTATCATTGATGCAGCGCCCAATAGTGCTGAAGCAAGGCCAATGCATCAAAATTGATGCAATGGGGGCACATGCATCAACTCTTGTCAATTTTTGCATGTGGGCATTTGCTAAGGCGCTGCTGGCATTGCGTCATTTATTAATGGCAACGCATCCGTGGCTGCGCAGCCACGATATGGCATCAACGTCTGCAGTTTTCCTAGATATAGAAATGAGCGTGTGTTTCGTGCCGGTTAAAGTCGATCAAATATAACTGCGGTTGCATTTCGCACACCACATACTGACCTGGAAGGGGTAGCATGCAGGAAGCAAGGAAAACCACCGAGTTTTGGAACATGCCTTTGAAGGCTGCCTAGCTGGGCCACGCGATGCGACTGTCTTGGAAAGGCTGCAACAAGCGCATTGCCTGCGACACGCTGCATGGGTAGTTGGGACCGAACCGTTACAAATTCGGCAGCCTTGTCGTCGACAGATATATAAGTTCACTGCCACCTGGAGATGGCGTGGACGCCTATGGCTCAGCTCCCGATCTTGAATTTGATTGCTGAATCGTTGCTAATGCTGATGCCGGAGCGATGTTGCAATGCACGTGCTTTGCACGGTCTGACTGCTAGTAATTGCAATTGGACAAATGGTTTGGAAGCCGAGCTCTGCCTTGCTCTGTTCTACCCATTGCCTTTGCTAATTTTCCTATTTCCTTAATGAAAGGAGATTTGAATAGTGTGGATCCCATGCTCGTCGCTGTGTGATTGCCGTCCAGGATGTGGTGAACTCATGTCATTGAAATTCTGCACATCATCATCACAGAAAATTTACATATCCGGGCGAAGTGGTAGTCCCCAGCTCCTTTTTTCACCGAGCAAAGCACTGTCCATGACTTGGTCAATGAGAAGATATTGCCACAATCCAACCGCAGAGTTGCTCTATATCAAAGCACAAAAATTCAGATAATTCAGGAAACTCGGTAAATCAAATTGTTCCACCGTAACCTGATGCTCTGCGCATCCACTTGCTTGTAAAATCAGCTAATCAGCAACAAACACCGTTGCGTTGGATGGAGCATTGCTGCGATTCTTGATGATGGGCCGATTTTGCAATAAAGCACTGTTTCCGATTTCATGCCATTGTTGGTGGGAGGAAATGTGTGTGGATCGTGGACGCCTTAATCCAACGACTTCGCAGCTTTGTGCTCGTATGCTTGTGGCTCGCATTGTTCATACTTATTTCTGCTGTCAGAACAGTTCTGAATACGTCACCATGGCGATTGTGAGGACGAGTAAATTGAGCAAGTGGTTACAAATATAATGTGGCTGAATATGGAGAATCTGGTGTGGAATATGTGAAATGAATATGGAATGCGGTGTTTATTAGTGGAGAACATTCAGTGTTCTCCACTACGAAGCTGCCAGTGAATGCTATTTGGTTGGTGCGCTTCTACTGTAATCCATCTGGTTACGGCTTTGCTTCCCATGCCTGGGAGTGACCCCGTGAGAGAGTTTCAGTTTGTGTCACAGCGATTCTGGCTTCATGATTCGATCATTCGGCAGCTGGAACTTAGCAAGCTCTGATGCCCAAAATCCGTGATGTCTTCAGCCAGAATGCAATGAATTATGCTGGCAATGGCGTCAATTAATATCATTGTCGTTTTAGGACGTGAACAGAAACCTAACGTACGTTTGTCTTTCTGGATGTAGACGGTTGATATTACGGTAAATTTACATGCGCCCATGATAGGAGTTCTGTGCATTGTGCTGTGCCCGGTGTGCTGCCAAGCACCATCCACGAACAGCGAAAATGAGGCACGTCACTCCGGCCAAAAGCAGTGGGAGTAGGGTTCCAGATCGTGTGTTCGCTCTTGACATAGCATCATTCACAAAGAAGCTGCACGCCACTATGTGGAAGTGGTTCACATCGAACGACAATTTCTCATTGAATGCAACCAGCAGCGGCAATATGCAATGATTCAAGATAGGATGAACTTGCCACAGTTCATCGTCAACACTACAGTGTCTCTTGAAGCTTGCTAACTATTGATTGTGACAAGCTTTGAAACGTGCAGCATCAATATGATGCATTATTGCCAGGCTTGTCATTTGCAGCATAAACACCACGCATTTGCATAAAAGCATATTTTGCGCTTTACTCACAACACACTTGAAAGTGTGCAAACATGGGCCCCGTGTGCATACAGCCAGTGCACACAGATTCAGGAATCCGACGAGCGGCATCCAGGCGCGCTGGAGTGGGCAGGGGACTATCGTCTAGTCGACGAAGTGGTTGCCCTTGACGAGGTAGATACTGTATTGCGGGTACGGGAGGGGGCACCAGACTGATCATTGTTTGTGAATTCATTGTGTAACCTAGGTGTGACGTAGACAACCATAGAAATGAGGTTTCTCTGTTTATGCGCTCTTACACATAAAAAGCGTAAACTGAAAAATCGTGCAGCAAACGTAAATAACAGACCTGACCATCGCAATTACATAGGCACGCTGCTATACCAACGGGATTTGAACTGAGTATTAGATCAGCAACATATAAAAATGACAGTATCGAGTGTGACACAGACTACATCAAATAGATTATGCTGAGGTGAGAGGGGCTCAAACAGAAGTTCTCTTGTTGTTTCTGGGTGGGGGGTAACCAAAAGGATAAACAACTTGGTTTCCACATCAAGAAAGACGCCTATACGACTTTCATGGCATTTTGCTACATGTGTTCAAGGGGTTTGTGCACCGGGGAGGGGGGGGGGATTGTGGTGCTGCACACTGGTATTGTGGTGCGCACTCTGTGCACTGCATGGTATGGAGGAGGGCACAATCAGGCAACACATGCAGTGACGCATATACACACGCAGTCGGCTGGTGCGAGGCATGACAGGCGCATGACGAGAATTGCCAGAAAATGGGTCAGATAATTGTTGGCAAAAACTGGTCCAAACAGGGCTTTCTGCACGTACACGTCGCATGGCGCTTGCCTATTGGCTTTTCATCATTTGTCAGGAACATTCACTGCAAGCAAAAGCGCCTGTGCCTCGCAGCTACCTCTGTGATTTGTGCGATCTCGTTCTTACCAAGTCACTACAAGTTCCTCCAAAGAGGACACAAGCACCAGTCATCTTGACAGAGATTTGTTATTACCAGCATGTTTCGCTCCCATTCGGACCAAATTCAAAATCTCACGTCAGGCTCTAATAGAAAGCTGGTGCCCATTCATTCTGACGTATTTTTAATACGTGAGACCAAATGTGGACAGCATTGCCATTCACAGCAGACAATGCCAGTCAACCATGCACAGACCTTTGATCTAACTGAATGTGGAAATGCATAATCCTGCTAAATCTGATGCAGTAGCTCGGTTAGATTCTCCATGAAAGCACACCCACTCACTGGTAGAGAACGTCATGTTTGCGGTGCCAGCTGCGATGCCATTTTGACACAAATTGATGCTATCACAGTGATTGCGATGGCATAAAGGGGGCTGTGATGGCATCAATTTCTGTCAAATGGCAACGCAGTTGGTATCGCAAACAGGCTGTTTTCTACTGGTGACTCTAGTGTGTGCCGTTCGTAATTGCAGAAGAGGGAGACCCCTGCAGGGGAGCATTGTTGCTTGGTTACACATTTCCATGAACAGCTATTACAATCTGTCGTTCCCCTCACTGTGATTTCGCTCTTTAAACACACCACAAATCTTGGATATCAATTGATACCCCAAGTAGCCCCACAACTGGACAGCAGTGAGCTAGATACCACTAAGACCGATTCCCCTGGCACATCAACCGTATGACCAGGAGAAATATGCTACACAACATACTGTCCATGCGCAGAATAATGCTGAATACGCAGAAAATGCTGTGATAGTAAGCTTTCGTAATATTCTAAGAGGCCATCTCACTGAATTCCCTTCATGTCGATTTGTTGACAATCCTCAAAAGCCACACAGGACAAGAGATAACTCCTACTGCCCAAACTGTCTCCAATCACTTGCACTACATGTAGTGCAGCCATTAGCCATCGCAGTTTTGACCACAATGTGCGCCTGGCCAAAATGAGCATACTTGAAAGCTCAGTCCTATGCAGCGGAACTCATTGGACATAATGATCTGCCAAAACCATTGGACTGGTGACATGTCGTCATGGGGCATACAAACAGGCAACTGCCTGTTTTGCCGAGCAGCAAAGAGCATGTGGCATACACATGCATCACAGATACGCCTGGTGCTCTTGAGATGCTCTACACAGCCAAGCCCAACCGCAAAATCAATCCTAATTTCCCAACTGTTGAAGATGCTAACATGAGACCTTGCCCATCTTGCCTGGGTATCGAAGATGGCATGACAGCAGGCAATCAGCCACAGACCCAGAATCCTCTAGCTTTGTGACGTACGCTACCCTATTTTGCTGGGTGAACACCAGCAACTCTGCCCATTGTCTCGTGGACAACAATCCTCTTAAGATATGGAGAGCAGAAGTCTTGTCATAAAAAGAACCACCACACCATGATAAGGACCAGAACAGTGGCCACCTGAGAACACAAATGCAAATACATAATTCACAGGACTGTCATGAGACACAAACGGTGTTGCCTGTGCTAAGAGAACAGTATGCCAATGTTAGCAAGCTTTGGAGGACATTTGTAAGTGGGGCAGAGGATCTCCTGTGGGGAAGAATTTGATGCTACACCCATGGCCAGTACAATTTTCAGATGTCCGCAACTATTATTAATGAACCAGGTCTGCAGTTCTGGTCCCGTCATGTCCTGCTTCTTTGTCAACTTCTGTCTATCTAAAAAGAGAAAATTCAACCTTGCAATATGGAGTCAAGAGCCATGACCGCCATTACTCACCATGCCTCCATAAGTTATCCATATGTCACCTTTTTGCCGCCTTTCGATTACTCGTAAAAGTGACTCTGACAGGCCCACAGTATTCAGCATGTCCAGCATTCGCTTCTGTGCCCTCTGAATTCAGAAACACAAGACAAGTTGGCCATGAATCCCCTGCATTAAAAAGTACGGCAGCACATGCTCAACATAAAGCACATGCAGCAGGACTCAGCCCGGCATCTCATGATATGCTCATATGTGCCAATGTGAGCACTGGGGATTGTGCTAACTACTCTGTGTCTCAATGTTGGCGGAAGCTAGAACAAGCACATGAATAACTATGCAACCTGGACCTGCAGGGGTACATAATGGCTTGCAGTCATGAGAGAATCTTGGCAGCCATCTGGAAAAGGTACCATCAAGTAACAATGGCCAAATACGACAGCGATCAAGAAATTGATCGCACTCACCTTAAGGACCTCTCTGTTGCTTGTCATTGTCTCCAATATGTTGGTTCCCATGTCTATGGCTTCTTGAAGAACGGTTTTGGACCTCTGCACTGAGCCCATCAACTGAGCCTCTGTGTCCATCTGCACTGCCACTGCAGCCCCTTCCTGCCTTCTCATCAGTAATTCCTCTCGTTCCTGTCGCTCTCGTGCACGTCTGCAACCAAACAAGAAAATTGATTATACATGGACACTCTCCCTTAAAGCACGACAGGGATCAAGATAAGCAACCATGTCACCAGTCTTTCCTTATATTAGTGCATCAGCCTGCATGGCAGCAAAGAGTTGCATCCTCTGGTGTATCAAGTCCAACCATTCGCCACAGTCTATTTTGTTAACTTGCAGATGGACATATTATAGATCTACCACAAGAAATGTCACAGTGGCCATAAATCTGCGACTTGCAGGGCAAAGACCTTAGGAGCATGGATCAACAGACAAGTAATATACCTGTCTTCTCTAGCACCAAATCGATCTAAAGCCATTCGTATGGAGTCCATGTCTTCTGCCACCTGCTCAACTTTCCTGCAGCAGCGCAAAAACATGTTGCTTCTCCAGCGCACAGCCACATTAGTCTGTCAGCTGGTCAACAGCCTCTTGATTGCAAACAAGAATCAACCTCCCAATAGAGCCCTTTAATTGGGATTTTGCAAGTCCAACAAGTGTAAGACTGCTTGCAGCACAGTCATATGGAATTATGTGTTAGCAACTTTCAAAAATGAGCAAGGCGTCTGCTTGTAGTGCATGCCGATGCTAACTTTGGCATTGGTCCCAAGGCAAAGGTAGTGCCAGTCCCCTGTATTCCTTACCTCTTCCATAAGTCCCTTGAATTGTGGCTCTCCCTGAGCACATGCATCCGCCACACGCTGTCCACCTCATTGCTGGTACGCTGTAGGACATGGGAAATGCCTTTATGAACACATACAGACCCGACAGACTATGGGCACTGTGGAAATATATACACTGGTCCTGATTTCGTGTTCTGTCAGTGGGTCCTTTTCACCTCCCAGACCTCACTCCGATCGCTCATACAAACCCAGCACTATTGCAGTCTCTCAAGCTCCCATCACCTGGGCAGTGGCTGCAGCATTCGTGCAAACTGGACATTACTCTGCACTGTCAAGCAAGTTTTCCTTGAACGCTCTGCCAGCAAAGGATCAACCAGGACCTGCCCACCTGAAGGTCAGCAAATTTTGCACGGAGGACCTGCATCTGTGCGGAGGTACTTCCACCAGCAACCTGTCGGCAACACATCCAGCCAGGGTTCCAGTGTCAGCATGCTCCCAGAAACGGCCAAGAAGCGCGTGCCCAGAAGAGGACAAAAGCGTCGAACTGTTGGTGTCGAAACAACAGGGCAAACAACGTTGGAGTGCCGTTGCCCGCTGGGCCACAATGGGCAACTGCCTTCGAAAATTCTTCATCTCCACAAGTGAGATTGGGGCAAGGGGCGTTGTGGCTGGAAGCCCACCTCGGTTGATTCCAGCCTGTCGAGGCCTTCTCGCAAGGCGATTGTCAGGCGTTTAGCCTGGCTGTAGAGAGCCGGCAGTTCGCTCATGATGGCTAAGTTCCGCGACGCCGATCACCGTGCTTGCGGGAAGGTTTTCGCAGCTCTGAACAGAACCTCCTCCTGCAGGTCTGGACGCAAAGGTGTCCGGTTCATGACGCTTTTAAATGAACAGTGCCCCGCTTCGTGCGTGAGTTCTCAATTGTAAGTCGCTTGTGTCTCAGTTCTCACTTCCGACACTGGCAACACTCACCGATGTAACCGGCAATTAGGAGCATGGAATGCGGGCTTGGGAAGCGGCAGCCCGGTATGCTCGTGAGCGACACTGCATGTCAGGCCAGCCGCAAGAAGCCGCCACGGACACACGGTACGGACAACGCGTCCTTCGGAACAGCGCCCCACACAGCGCGCAGTATTCTCGAGTTCACGTCTGTTCATCGGAGCAGCGCGCCTGCCGCAACCATGGCCTACTATCTGTTCACATTGTCTCCACACTGGGATGCGCAAGGCTGCTCGGCCTCCTCATCAGCGCTATCCATCGACGGAACGACCAGCATGGACTGCGCTCTGGAAAGGGAAATTTTGTTCCGTAGGAAGGAGTTGGCAAACAGAGTCCAGAATCAAAGCATCTCAGGTGCACATGCTTTCAGGCAGCCACATGAACCACAGTGTGCCTGATGTGTATCGCATTATTATTGAATTCTGCAAGAATGGTTTGGCTTTCATGACATATTTCAGCGCTGGGGCGTCAGTTGACCAAGCACACATGCCCTTTACACAAACTGCAGCCAAGGTTGTGTCCTTGCACAAAGAAAGGACGTGGTACATTTGCAAGTTCAATTCAGCAAGGCTATTGCGAAATTCCCTTCCGGGAGCTGCTGAGCGTGACAGGAAACATGCAGAACCAGCTGGAGGAACAAGAAAACAGGAACCGCGAGTAATGTGTGTGACAATTCAACTGCTACCTATGTCCCATCCACTTCCCCTGTTTATCATTCACAAATGTGCTTGCAAACGTTGAGCAAGTGCTTGCAAACGTTGACCTAGTTTTTCAATGGGATGCAGGTTGAGATGGAAGGATTGCTTTCTTATGAATCCCACTTGCAATCGGACATCAAGGTGCTGAGTGTGGAGAAAGAATAACAGGCCAACTTGCAAAATGAGGGTAGTGCGCTTTTCTGCAGCTGTGTCAATCTGTTGTTTGTGTAGCGGTTCTTTCAGAAGGATTGTAAATCACATAGAAAAACTCCTTCTACCTTCAAGGAGGTCTTTTGTGCGTCAATATCTTCATTTTCAAGTTTTTATTGGCCTCAGGGCTGACATCTGAGTGTAGAGATGTGCTTAAGCTTTGTTGTCACAGGCGTGGTCCAACCCGAAGATAAAATTAAAAATGTACTCCTCCATCCCATATTAATTGTCGTCTATGATTTTTGAGGCGTTGTTTCTCCATTGTACCTACGTTAGTTTTCAACAAAATTTACCTCAAAGTTGTGTTTGGGAGGTTGGAGTGCACTATCAAAATTTCAAGTCGATCCATTAAATTTTAGTGGCCTTTACGATCAGTAAAGAGAGTTTAAATTGAACGGATAGGCCAGGGCGGGACGATTTGTGAAGGACACTCACGCAGTCTGGTTTTGGCATCCCGTCAGTCAATGGACACCTTCTCACTCTCACCATAGCCGAGGTCGCACTCTTGTTGTAAGCCTGTGCACCTCGCTGTGTCGCCACTATTTTCGCTGCTTCACTTCACGAAGTGAAGCCAGCGCAGGCCCTTTGGGAACTCTGTCTCTCCACGTGGACCGCGATCCACGCTGCACCCCGGCGCAAGTGGACCTTGTGCCGTGCCTTCCCTTCATGGGAGACCTCGGAGTCCAGCTGAACCAGATCACGGAACAGCTGGCGCAGTTCTCCGCGTCCGTAGATGCCAGATTGAAGACCTTGGAGCAGCCTCAAGCTGCATTGGCCGCCCCCGGGGGATCTGCCGTGGGGGGGCATTCTAATGGAGCTGGAGGAGCCGCTGCGAACCAGCCCAACCAACAGGCGGAGCTGCTGGAGCGCTACCAATCAGTGTGCGTCGCGTTGACGGGCTGCCTGCCGGATCGTCCTTTGGAGGAGTATTGTTGTGACTCAGCCTTGGGGCTTTCGCATTGGGAGTCCAATCCAGTTGGCAGACCTCCGTGGGTGCGGGGTGCGGGCAAGCATTTCAATCTCCTCGACACTTGCTACGGTCAACGACTGGCTAAAGAGCTAGGCGAGAACAACCCTTTCTTTCACGAAGTCGCCGGGTGGGCGCCTGTGGCGAGCTACCTGTTTGACGCGGTGGCACAATTGTGTTTGATTGTTGGGCACCCCAACTTCCCCCACCCCCAGAGAGCGCAGTTAGTGGGCGTTACTGAGGCTTTGCAACAGACACTGGACGCGGCACTGGCCCGTTTGAGGGTCCACGAGTACCGTGTTCAGTTCGATCGCCGCGGCGTTCCAGCCGCAGCAGGATTCCAGGCTGCGCTCGCTTTGGAAGGTCAGCAATCGGCTTACAGGCCTGCAATCGCCGTCCAGTACGACAAGCAATTGCTCGAGTCCGTTCGCAAAGCCCACGGGAAGCTTATCGCCGACGGATCCACCAAAACCGCGGGAAATCGTTCGCGGGGTAGAGATCACAGCAGCAAGCGCCAAGGCAATCCGACTGGCGGCAAGGGCAGGGGTAGCTCCAACGGTTCCAACAAAGGGGGCAACGCCTAGCCCCTCCTTGGGTATTGGCCTCGCGAGAATGCGGGGACGGGGTAACTGGCGACGCAGGGCAAGCCGCCGGGTAGCGGGCACGTCAGGCGCGTGGGGCGTCCCTGGCGCGTCATCTTTGACAGGTGCCGCGACTTCAATCAATGCCCAGTCACGCTGAACATTCGGTACTGTCGCACACCCGATACCGACAATTGCGGTCCCTGTACCGCAAGTACAACGTCAACCCAAGAGACTTCCCGGCGTGTCAAGTCCGGGCAGCCCTGCCAGTATGGAGACGGATGATATCGGACCTTCGGGTTCTGAGCTGGATCCGGAACGGTGTCCCAATTTCATGGCAGTCCGGACCACTGAGACCGTTCCATCACGGGAATTCTGTCATGCAAGGGGAACATCGGACGGCTTGGGAAGACTAGATTCTACCAAGCTACATCCAAGTTGGGGCCCTCAGACCAGCAACATGCCAGGATTACGTCAGCAGAGCCTTCCTAATAACAAAACGGGACGGGGGTTATCGCTTAGTGATCGACCTCCGCCATCTCAACGCACATTGTTGGGTGCCGACAACTCGCTTCGAGATGCTGGCGACACTCTCCGGCTGGATGGAACCGGAGAGTTGGATGACTGCTTGGGATTTCCGAGACGCTTGTATGCATCTGAGACTACAATCGGACTTCATCAAATATGTGACAATTCAAGTGAATGGCGAGTACTGGGAGGTGCCCACCCTTTCCTTCGGGTGGTGCGGGAGTCCTTTTTACTTCACAAAACTACTCCGGCCATTAGTCGCCTTCCTCAGGGCACCGCAGGACAGCATATCCTGTCCTCCCTTGAATTTCCCCTCCCTTCGCCAATTGTGGGAGGCGAACTACTTCATCAAAACCCTGCCCTACCCTACCCTATACGGACGACTTCCTAGGGGCAGGAAGCGACAGGCGGAAATTGCGAGCATGGGGTGTCCTAGTGAGGGCGCTCCTAAGCGACTTAGGATTGGAGATCAAAAACTCCAAATCCGTCTGGGAACTAGTGACTTCGAAGGTTCATCTCGGCCTGGTTGTGGACTCATGGCGGGTCATGTTCCTTTGCCCGCCGGATTCTTTGAGAGTCCTCCAACAGTTGGTGAAGGACATCATCGTCAACAGCAACTTGAATGCACGATTGGTCACGGCTAGGAAGGTGGCCCAGTTCTGCGGCAAGGCGAACGCCTTGGCCCCGGCGATTGCCCCAGCCCAGTTTTTCCTGCGCGAGCTCTTCTCCAGTCTACGGAACAAACAGAGCTGGAGATCCCCAGTGCGTCTCGGTCGCGAGGCATTGGCAGATCTCCGTTGGTGGACGCAAATTCTAAACAGGTGGTAGGGCCGAGCCTTTCTACGTCAACCAACGTCAGTGGCGATGGCGACCGACGCCTCGGATTTTGGATGGGGCGCCGCCTTGGAGGATCCCCGTTGCCTAACCTCGGCCCAGCCCCTGAGAGCGCGAGGCTTTTGGACGGCGCTGGAGAGGATTTGGCACATCAACTACAAAGAGCTGGAAGCGATCCGTTTGGGCATCAAGTGTTTCTTGCGTAACTTGACCAACCGAACAGTGCATCTACAGATGGACAGCCAGACGGTCTGCTGCATATTGGAAAATGGCGCTCGAGGGCACAACCTCTGCACCGCGAGCTGCGCAAACTGTGGTGGCTACTGGACACACATGGCATTACGGTGCAGCCCCAATGGATTTCAACAACAGAGAACGCGATTGCAGACGCGCTCAGCCGGGAGACGGACAAGGAGGACTGGCGCCTGTGTCCCACGTGGTTTCGGCACCTAGATCTGCGCTGGGGCCCACACACTATCGACCGATTCGCCAGCTGCCTCAACCGCCAACTCGAACGGTTCAATTCAAGGTGGGGCGACGTAGGGTCAGAGGGCGTGGATGCATTCGCCCAACCCAACTGGCCCGAGGAGAACAACTGGTGCAATCCCCCCTGGTCTTTGCTACCTCGCGTGGTTCAGCTCCTTCACGAGCTTCTGCGCGTCCAAGCCACCGTTCTCGCCCCGCATAATGCGGGCCGCATTGGCCATGCGCAGTTTGGTACCAACTATTGAAGGCGCTTTCCAACGATTCTTGGGTTCTGCCTCGATCTCCGACCCTCTTTCTACTGGGCAGGGGGGCATAGGTGCCTCAGGGAGCAACGCGGTGGCATGTCGAGGCTCTTCGAATCGACGAGGCAAAGGCGACCCACCCCTCACGCCATTGATCCAGCCAGGCACCCCGCTGCCGCTCGCCGCCTCTGGCCTCCTCGATCACGACGATGAGCAGAGCATCGT